TTGCCACAGATGTAGTCAATCTGATTCCTGTGTGTTCCATCTGGTGAAGTCCACGTGTACAGCCTCCGTTTGTGTTGTTGAAAAAAGGTGTTAGAGGTAAGCAAAACACCATTTAGTACTTGTCCATTCTCCATACACACATACACACACACACATACACACACAATTTAATCAATAGTTAGCATTGGCAAAGATCTGGAGGAAGGAGACTCTTAATTACCAGCTGGGGTCGAACATGTGTGTTCCTTGTGACCAGCATTTTCACCCACATATATTGAGAAACTTTTGAACATGTGTGGCAAGAATGTTCATAGCACTACCATTGTAATAAGAAACTATTGGAACAACTAAAATGTTCTACAATAGCAGAATAGATTAATAAATCCAATTATATAATAGAATGTTGTGCAGCAATAGAAGTAATGAAGAGCTACATACAACAAATAGAGGAATCACAAAAAAAAAAAAAAAAACAACAACAGGATATTGAGCAAAAGAAGCAGAAGAATATATATAGTATGATGACTCCATTTCTACAAAATTCATACACAGGCAACATTAAGTATTTTTTATGTCTACATACATAACTATAAAACATTAAAGAAAGTAAAGAAATGATTAATAAAAAATACAGTTCAGTGGTTATCTCTGATTTGGGGAGGGAGGGAGGTGTGGTCTGAGAATGTCACAAAAGAAGTCTACATGCTTTATTTCTTTACCTAGCTGGTGAGTACATGGGTACTGATTATTGTTTGAATGATTTGTGCACATAGTTTCATATAATTTTAATGTGATTAGTATGAAATATTTTGGAATATATTCTCCTGCTTAACCATATAATTCATACTCCTCAGAGGTTTTTTTTCTCATCTTATCAACTATTTGTCTTTAAGACAAGTTATAATTTATAATTATATATTTAATTGAATGTTTACTTGTTTAATATCTATTCTTCTACTAAGTGACATATTCTATGAGAGCTGAATTCATGTCTGTTTTGTTTACCATCATTTGTTCAAAAATAATTCCTTCTATCTGAAATAAAAAATGGTCCTTTTGCAAAGTTTTGAGCATTCTTCCATTTGTGAAGATGAAAGTCACAAAAAGTTGGAGTGGGAAGTTTTGCTACAGCAACTGTGTGACCACTCTATCAAATAAGACAGCATACATTTTGTTTAGCCAGCATGTGGTACTTGTTAAATATTTAATAAATTCAAGTAATTGTTGGTGTTGGTAGGTGTTGGTGTTGGAGTTCTTTATCTTTTTATTTCACTCTACCATCAAATCTAGTTGTCTAAGTCAGTTTGTTTCATTTAAATATGTTTAATCAGGAGCAATAATTATATCATAGTCATCCTTTCTCACTGCTTATATATACAAATATAGAATATTTTGCCAATTCAGAAATACTAGTGTGGTATCAATAACTGAAAACTAAATAAAAGAGCTGAGTTTAACTTTAGTTACCATAATGGATTAGAAAAGTCTATAGATTAAAAATAAAGAAGTTAGAGAGATGAGGCTCTTATTCCCTGATCTTTAAATCCTCAAACACAAGCATCTTGAGGTGATTCATTTTACTGTTGAGGAGACAAAGTAATATTTAAATGCTTACATTAGAGAAAGCCCCTTAAGTAAACAAACAAACAAAACCAATAAGAGATTATGATAACATTAAATAAAGGAATATCCTTGAATAGTGTGTATTAGGACTCCAGTGTAGGTATGGAAATTGGAATCCATACCAATTCCTAAGGTCTGAGACTCAGAAAAATGATAATTTTAAAAAAATTATGAATTTTTCTCCTGTAAATTATACAATTCATCCTCAGTTAGGTGCAATCAATTTTGAAGTACTTTCACTAATAAAAAGTTGATTAATTACAATAATAATTAAAAAACAAAGCAAACAAAACACTACAGCAGCTTTCAGTGTGTTTTGGTTAAATTATTCTAGAAAACACTACTAATTTTTGGTCCCTACAGTGTCAAGGGCAGAAATGAGCAGTCTGACAAACTTATAAACATCATGAAAAGAACTGTAGAGAGGAACTGGAGCCACTCGAATGCCGTTTGGTTCCCGCTTATCACACTGTGGGGGAAGGGAGAGAATAAAGCCACAATAATGTTAGCATTATTCAGATAATGAAATACTACATTCAAGATACATTTAAAGTATTCATACTAATTTTCCTAAAACTTAATACATAAAGAAAGAAAATTTTCACTTTAAGTAACACAGTGTTTTAGAAAAGTTCCTCTTACTAGTAATTAAAACACTTTTGGGTTGGTACATGAATATGCAAAATATTTTCCTGGAGTCCCCTCAGCATTTATCTTTAAGCATCCAAAGATCATATAAACAACTTGTATGCGGAAGACCATAGAGGGACTAGACAATTAAATGTAAAAATCACTAGCTAAAACTCTCAAATCTCAGTGTGCTCATTTAAATGAATGAGCACACTGAGATTAGAGAGTTTTAGCTAGTGATTTTTACATTTAATTGTCTAATTCCTAATCTTGTAGGTGAAAAGTTGGTTATATCTCTGAGAATGCTGAAAGGTCCAGAAGTAGGCCCAGACAACGTGACTTAGCCTGAAGATCACTTCTCCATAGCTTTAAAAAAACATCCACTACAAGGTTGACAATATAGTACATGGTTTATATTTGCTGCTGCACTTAATTCCCATAACTGCTTTTGAGTTAAATATATTTATGCCAAAAATGCAAATGAGAGCTCTCAGGCTGGTTGACGTTAAGTAAGTTTCCAAGAACACACAACTTGGAAATGACACGGCTTCATTTGAGTCCTGATATTCTGACTTGTGCCTCCTGAATCTGTGATGACCTCCTAAAGTCTTAGAAGGTCATATGGATGAAATAGTTCCTTAATTACATTATTATTGCAATAATTTCTCCAGAAATTACTCAGATACCATTTATTAGTTCTCCTGAAGAGACTAAGAAGGCCATCTAGGTCCAAAGGTTAAAACAATTTATTCCATGCAATGTTACCACTGCTTAGATGTGTACATACCTTTTTTGTATAAAGTCACAAGGTTGATAACAACTTAGCTCAATTAAACAAGTAAATTAGACATTATGTTTTGCCTTCACTAAATCAATAAATTGCTTAATTCCATTTAGTCAATAAATATATATTGGAATTTTCACTAGTGAAAATCATGCACTAATTGATTATAATTAAATGTTTTTTTCTCTGCCCAAATTTTTATGAAAGAATGCATATCGATGTTACCTAAAACTGTTTCCTGTAACCAACATTTATGATTTCCCTTTTACTGGAAATGACAGATATTGGTGCCAGTCAACTAGCAGTGTTGAATGTCTAGCTGGCCCTTAATTCAGACCCTCTGACTGTAGATCTATGTGGGTAAGATAATATTCAATAGTGAATAAAATAATAATTCAAATTTTATCCCCAAGATGCAGCCAATAGAAAAGATGTGGGAGAAAAGCAAAAGATGCACTTACAACCACTCCTCTTTTTTCTAGTTCTTGGTAAACATATTTCATTGGAGCCGAAAACGATAGTGTTAGCTGGCAGCCCCTTTCCTCTATACAGGATGGAGTAATTATGTTCACAAGTGGTTTCTTGCTTTCTGCTTTATCTTTGTGATTGTAATGCTTGATCATGTACTCCAGATAACCAGTTAGCAAAATAGATTTTCTCCTCAGTGCTTTCATAGTTGCCTGTTTAAAGATCTGTCGAATGAGAAATAATCATATTAATAGTGTAAAAATTAACTGTAAATTATGTATGAAAAAGGAAATGATCACGTTTGACCTTCCCAATGAGCATCCTATTTTTTTTAATGCTCTCTTTTTAAATGTTTGCCTTTACAAACTAAAGCAAGATTCTCATGAAAGAAAAACTATAAATGATATTTAAGCAATACTTGTAATAGAAGGGGGAAAAATTAGTTAACATAGTGTCCCTTAAGAGTTATTTGCTTAATATAATCACCTTAACAAATGGATTTGAATATCATAAAATTGACACCTTTTTTTCCAAAACTATACTGAAAAATCATATTCAAGATTTTTTTCCCTATTCTGATGTAATTTTTTTTAATCCACAAACAGTGCAGTGCAAGCTAAACAGAGGTGCAAATATGGGAGACAGTGTTACTAATATTAGTTGTGACTGTTTTTATCAATTCCTAAATCTTCTTCAGCTTAACACAAAGAAAATAGCAGTTAAATGATGTGGTCAAATCTTCTCAGGCAGAGAAATGAATAACTCCTAAATAAAATATCTATTATTATGCTGGGTTGTGTTGTTAGTTGCTGTCAAGTTGATTCTGGCTCAGGGTGATCCCCTGTGTGCAGAGTAAAACTACACACCATTGAATTTTCAAAGCTCTGATCTTTCAGAAGCATGTAACCAGGCCTGTCATCTGAAGTACCTGTGGATTAGAACCACCAACCTTTTGGCTAGTAGTCAAGCACTTGACTGTATCGTACAGGGTACATCTATTATTACTGAAATATTTTTCCTTCTTCCCTCTCTCCCTTTCATTTTTTTTTTTTTTTTTTAATTCTACTAAGTGGTAACTTTGGTGTGAAAATACTGGCATTTGCTGCTGGAGGTGACTTATTGAAAGATGAGTGGTAAGGGGCACAATAACTAGTATTGGGACATTATGGGTCAGAAAAGACATACTTTTCTAGCTTATCTCATAAGGTCAAGTAGAGTTTATAAATATATCCTACATATGAGAACTGAATGAACTGTAAACAGAGCTGATGAAACGCATGTCCCTTAACGTCCCTTTTCTGTATCATGTTATAGCACAGAATCAAGATAGTTTTTTTTTGTTTTTTCCTGATATCTAAACACTATGAAGTCTATAAAGATAGTTATTTCCATATGCATGCATGACATGTGTGGGCATGCATTCCAATAGGATTCAAACTAGGTGCTCACAGCCTGCATTTTAGAAAAGAATGAGCTCAAAGCATTCAGGCATGGATATTCTTAAACTGTATTACAAGGAGGCTATGGATTTGGTTAAAGCACAATGTGGGAGTTGTACAAAAGGTAATGGTTTCTAAGGAAGAAAGGAGAAATGGAGAAGGTAGAATGGTTTCTATCTCTCTCTCCAACCAGACCTCAAAGACCATCAAGTCTGCAAACAGATCAGCTACAAATGGAGATTGCCATAATTGTTTTGGGAAACATACAGGATTTGAGGTGCAAATTATTTTTCAGATACTGGGTTCCCTCAGTTACATGGAATTTGGTAGAAATATCTCTTCATTTGTTGTGTAAAACAAAACATAAATAGATCTGGCACCATGAAGACTCAAGGAAACAGCCAGGTTTTGACATCAAGGGGACCAGAGCAAAGAATCAATATTCTTGCAAGGGCAGAGGCAGGGATAGTTAAAGCACAGTTTTCAAGTGGTTGGCTGTTGGGGGGGATCAACAAGATGATAAGAATAAAAAGATATAGAAGAAATATGATATGAATCTTCCCAAGATTATTTGAGGATATTTCCAGAAACAATTAGGGGAAATTTTCTGGGTCAACTATGTTGTTGTGTGATGTTGTGTTAATTCCAACTCAGAGTGACCCTATGTGACAGAGTAGAATGCCCCATAAGGTTTCTTAAGATGTAATCTGTATGGGAGCATATCATCAGGTGTTTTGTCCCATGGAGAAGCTGATGGGTTCTAACAGCAGATGTTCTAGTTAGCAGTCAAGTTCCATAATAAACAAGTAGGGGCAATGTGTGAAGTACTATGAGTAATGTGATTTCCTTTGTGTTCATGGGCCAGTACTTAAGTTTGCAGTTTTTAAAAAGGGTATTTTGCTTCCATAGATTTCTCCTGATTACCGTAAGTCAATGTTTTCAATGACAATCTCAATTGCAATATATCATGGAATACTGTAACCTTTTAATAATTTCAAATATAGAACTATTTTCACATTATAACCACAAGAGCAGTTCTATTCCCAGGCACTCTTAAATTCTTCTTACAGTGTAAATTCTCTTCTGAGTCTCATATAAGAATATTAATAAGTTCTGGTTAATATAATCCCTTAGATATAGGCACCATAACAATCCCTTGACAAAGACTTGAGAAACTAGGTAAACTAGACTCAAAAAAAGTGACTTCAGATTGCAGAGCATCAGACAGAGTTTAAAAAGAAAGACTAAGCACTGATTGGAAGGATAGGCAGAACAAGACCAGCAGAAAAACAGAAATTTGTGATCAACTGCACCCCACCTGCCAGCACAGGGCTGTGTGGTCATTTGGGGACAGCATTGAATGGGACTGAAAAGAACCCAGAGTGAGCGATTCAGGAAAGCAACCAAGAAGACAGCACAGCTGGCGGCAGAGATCCTGTGTCAACAATCCTGGAAAGAAATGACAAGATAGGCAGGACACGGACATGGCCTTGGCCAGAAAGAGGGCATCCATGAGTGGGAAACAGGTGTGGTATAGCTTTGAAACAAGGGGACCACAGAGAAGTGCCTCTAGAGCAAGGAAAGCAGACTGAGTCACCTGAGCTTTACAGAAAGAGAAAGTATAGACAGAGAGTACACTAATGTAGGGGAATAAAGGGAAGAAACAGAGGGGCAGGTGAGAGCTTCAGCCCCTCTGGTGAGTGCAAGAGTGAAGGAGCTAGCTACTAGTCCAGGGACTACTTGTTGGTGGAGGCACCTAGCCATTTATATGGGACTCACCCACTGAAAATCCAATGCAGAGAGTAACAATTAGAACCCTCTAATTGAACCAGCCATGTGCAAGCAGTGGCCCCACCTGTCATTTATATTAGCAGTGCCCTGAGGTGCAGGTGGATGGAGACAAGGTACTCAGACCCAGCCCTGCCCACCACATGGCCCTGCCCAAGTCTGGGCCTGTCTATCACTCCCTCCTGGAGGTGCAGGCTACTCCCAATTGTACTTCCAAGCCCAGGTCTGACCACCATCCCCTTCCTTAGGCACAGGAGGCCAACCTGATGCACAAGCCTGGCCACACCTTCTATCCTTTTCTAGAGGCATTGGGGGCTTGCAACTGTAAGCCAATCACCCCTTCTTGAAGTACAGGAGGCACATGCTGACAGGCCTAAGACTAGCCATTCCCACTACACCATCTTGAAAATTCAGGCTTCTTGCATTAATCTATGCAAGTTGGACCACAACCACCACCACCTCCTGGAGATGCAGGAGACCCTAGATGATGTGACAAGACTTGTCATACTTGTCACTCTTCCCCAAGTTGCAGGCACTCACATCTGAATGCCAAAGCTGGGCCCTCCCCATTACCCCCTCTCTGAGTTGCAAGCAAACTGCATTCCTGTGCTCAAGCCTGACTCACTCATCTGATGACCAGGGACCCATCCAACATCCCACCAACTACCCAGCAACCAGTGATATGCACACACAGTGCCTAACCCAGCAACTGGTGAGAACTGGCTAGACAGACACAACATCTCATCAGCAATACCAGTCACATCCTGACAGGCACCATCTGTGCCTCAGTGAAACAATGGACAGGAGAACCTAATGCCCACACCCAATGTCCACATGGCTGCAACATTACACATCCCACAAAAAATTCCTATAGGCTATCTTTACTTGCACTGTTGCCCCTTCATACCCTAGCACCTACTGATAAACCAATTCATGCACTAACAAGGGCCCTATCTCATCCATTTGGGAAGGACTTCTTGACAGTGGATAGGGAGATGTTATGCCTTGACTTCAGAGACCATACTAACTGGTAATACCAACTTGAAAGGATCCCAAGAGACCCTGACTACCCAACAGTAGTCACCCATTGTTAGGGAAATAACCTTCTCACCAATCTCTACTCAATACAGTAAGGGAAGACATACAAGCCTAACCAGAGGACTCACATATGGGTTGTTGTTGCTGTTGTTGTTTTTATGTGCCATCAAGTCAGACCAAAAAAAAAAAAAAAGAGAGAAAAAAAAAAAACAGCATAAACAAACATAAAGGAATAAATAATTTAATTAACATCTAATGCCTCAAAGACAGCAGACAATAACAAGTCATGCTAATAAACAGGATAAGGTAGCTCAAACAAGTGAGCAAAATAAAGTGGCAGAAGATACTTCTGAGGAAAAAATGGTAACAGAATCACCTAGTAAAGAATTTAAAAGACATATATAGAACCCTCAAAGAGAACAAGAAAAACACAGATAAAGTTCTGGAAAAATCCAGGAAAACAATATAAGAACAAAATGACAAAATAAATAGACAATTAGGAACCATAGAAACAAGTAGAAGATTAACAATAAACTATCAGAAATTGATAACTAAATGGAAGTACATAGAAGTACAATTGCAATAAAATAGAGTCAGTGAAATAGAGGACACATGTCTTGACACTAGTCTATTTGCTGATCAATCAGAAAATTAAAAAAAAAAAAAAAAAGAGGAAAACTTAAGAGTTATGTGAGATACTATCAAGAGGAAGAATTTATATATAATTGGAATTCCAGATGAGGAAGAGAGGAAAAAAAATCATGAAGAAAATTTTTGAAAACATTTGTGAACCAAGATTCATACATCCAGCAAAATTACCTCTCAAATACAATGGAGAAATAACAATATTACCCAATTAAAAGAAAATTTCCCTAAGATTGTGAAAGATGGGAAGTTTTCCATCAAAGAAACTCAAAGAATTCCATACAGGATAGACTTTCAAGAAAAGTTATCAAGAC